AGTATATTTTTAACAAACTTCTAATCACTTTAAAAAAGAATAATTTTAAAATTTTATACAAACTTTCTGTACAAAATTTAGTATAAAGATAAAATAAGTATGTTTTGGTTTTAGATCAAAGTAGCCACTATAAAACGCTCCACAATTGACCATTCTAGCTCTTGTAAATGTACAATTAAATACGGGATTATCAAATAACGGATTAAAAAAAATTGTTAGAACTGTTGGTCTATAACACCTTTTAAACTTAATTGAGCTTCTATTTCTGCTTCAGTAGCTATTGGGTCTAGTGCAGACAAAATGGTTTGCGCGATTGTTGTCCTAAAATATGTTTTAATGCGCTTAAGGATCTCTTTGCAGTTGCTAAGCTAATGGATAATGTCAAATATACAGAAGCGTAGCTATTGCATTTTTAAATAAGCAACATAATATGTTATTGTGGACACGGGTAAAATGCTGAAATTTTCAATGAGTAAAATGCGGGAAAAAGTACTGAAAGTTTCTCTTAAGCCTAAGCTTATCGCTGCCCCAACCAAAACACTTAGTCAATGATTGTAGATTCAGTCTTTTTAGTTTTTCGCAGTATTAAATATGTCTCATGCTGGAAGCCTATTTTGTTGCTTTGCGTTGAATAGATTCAACCAAGGTTTTATCAGTTTTACAATAAGAAGCTCAAAAAGACACTGTATATTTATGGTGTGGCCTAAAAAACACTTTATAAAACTTGAGAGCCATATTTTCATCAATAAAAGTTAATGCGTTTTTGCATAACAAGAATTTATAAGAAATTTATAATTTTGAGATAACTAATAAAAAATTTGTGTTTCACTTGACGTTACATGAAATAATGACTCCTAAATTACGCATTTTAGTAGAGCTTTTTAGGGATTGGTTTTTTTGAGGTAGAGAATCAACGCTGTGGCAAAATCGAGATAACATCAATAAATTGGTGAAATACTATAGAAGATGAAATAGTATCAAAAGTCTCTATTAGATTAGTCACACATAATTTATGGTAAAGAAAGCCACGTTGATTTACAGAGGGCGTTTTATTATTGTTGCGCTTAAAAATTTGATCTTAACAAGTATTTTGACTATTTTGCAGGAAACAGAGTTGAGTGAAATAGGTCATTTGTTTTCAGCAAGTAATTTATCTTCTGTTTTTTTATAGACCGAACTAAAATTTTCTAATTTCTAGACAGTGAGTATTATTTAGAATTAAAGAACTTATAAAAGATTTTTGTCTATGGAAAAAATATTTATAGAGTTTAGATTGGCAAGTTATTAATGGCTAAAATAGAAAAACCCAAGCTGTCATTATAAGTTCATTGAGGTTAGTATCACTTTTTTAACAATGGAAATTTTTCATCTTCAGAAAGATGTTAATATTATTTCATTTTTATGAGCTCTTTTTGCTTTAGCTTTTACGGAATGATTAAAAAGAAAGCAGTTTATTTTAAGTTTACTATTCTTCCATTTAGTTGAGCAGTGTGACCATGTGCATATTTTTGCTCGGATTAGATTTTTAATATGTGTTAAACCCAAAGATCATACTTTTTCTTTGTTTTAAAAACCTCGGAGATAAAATATTTGCAAACAGTATAATTGTTAGTAATTAATAAATTAAACATTTGATCCGCGGTTTTATGCAGAAATAAATAACTGGTGCAAGCGTAAAATTCACATCGTCTTCTAACACATCATAGATTTTATTAGTTGTAAAGGATCTCCCTTGGGGCCCTAAAACAGTTTTGAACAAACTGTCAAAACTGCTCATTAAGACTTTTTAATAATTCGTCATGGAAACGAAACATTAATCATCCAGAGTTCAAAGAAAGATTGTCATGGTGCATAACTGATTTGAACTGTAAGCATCTTTAAAGAACTGCTACCATAATTCGATTTATTAGATTAGACAGCAGAAAATCATAGCTTACGGTTTATAAAGAACATTTTAACCATTTTATTCCTTAACTGCTGTTAGTAATAATAAATTTTGATATTTTACGTAAAAAATATTAAAGAATATATTAAAAGAATATATTAACTCATATATAGTAAAAGATTATATTAAGTTGTTTTGAACAAATTTCTTGTAAAGAAAATTGAACCTATGTCTTACTATTTAATTAGATGTTTTTAGGTGATATAATATAAAGGTAGGGTTTATATAGTTACTTTTACACTTCATTTTGAAAGTCAATGTATTTAAGAAGGTTTCAAGGGCCAATAAAAACAGAAATCTGATAGATCTTCTTCCAGCTTTTATTTTTTTTAAGCACTTTTTTTATGCATTTTGACAGTAGTTTATACTTTGGTAGAAGTTTATCATTTAAGAAATGTTAAGATTTTTGCGCAATGCATAAACTAATTCAAACCAAGTCTCAAATAACAATCAATATTATACTAATACACGCTTCAAATAGCAAAATAATTATAATAAAAATTGTTGGTATTACAGTAAAACACTCATGTAACCTTAATTTTAAAAATAGCGATCAAAAATCGCAGTAATCGGTAACGTTATGAGGTTAAAAATTAACAAAATATAAACTAAAACTGCCATAAATCCTGAACCAGCAAACCAATCCAACTGAAATTTTGTACAGAGTTTGGTGCGGCTACCCGATGGGAAATCGGCTAGCGAATAGCTAGCTATAATTGTAACAACAAAGACATCAACTTGGCAAAAAAAGATCGCTAGCTTTTTTTAAGTTAACGAAAAGCTATTGATATTTGTAAAGATAAAGACAGCGATTTGGCCACAAAGACAGCTAACTTAATAAGCTAAAGACCCACTGGCTATTGTAGCTAGCGTCGAATCTTAATAAACTCTCTGTCTAAAAATTTTTGTTACGTAACTATCAACCAGCTATAGATTTGTATATATTATGTAGGTAGCCACAAGGTACGATATGTAGCTAGCGATACATGCTACAAGATCGCAATGCTTAAAGTTCACTTTTTCTCAAAATTATAATAAACTCAACACTAAAGATTAAATTTTTAAAAATGTTAAAGGCAATGGAAAAAAATAAGATGAGAAAAAATTTCTTGAAAATTGCTATAAAGCTATCTAGTCACTCGCTAGTCACTAGCTCATTTCCCACCGGGTATATGCTAGGTTTGCACTAATTTTTATCAAATAATGTATAGCGGTTCTCATTCTACTGGTGTTTTTATATTGTCGCACTAAAAAATCAAAATTTCACATAATTTGAACATAAATTAAAATATTTCAAAATCGCAGGGTACCATGATATTTATGCTATCATCTCATATAAGTGGCATTCTTTGGTCAGCTAGGTTGGCTTTATCAGAATAACTAATCGTGCTTCGCCCATCGAGTTTGACTTTGCCGATGTAGTAACCAAGCAAAAGTAACAAATTGGCTGTTTTAGCGGATTTTTTTGTAAAAGTTAGCAACTTATCTCAATCTCTCTCATTTTGTTTACTATTTTTTTGTTTTGTTTCGAACCTCAAAAATTTAAATAACAGTCAAATCGTTGCTACGTTAGAAGGGTTATATTTACAAATATTTTCTGCAGTGCTTTTTACTTCTCTTTAAAAAAACTTTTTCTCTTTTAAAAGTTATCTTCTTCTACTCTTTTAAAAATTATTAGAAGAACAATTACATTATCTCAATGTTATCTCAAAAATTATCTCAGAAATTTAATCTTTAAAATCATTACATAAAAATGTTTTCAAATCCTTTGGCAAAGAAATTTGATGGTTGTTTAAAAAATCAACACTATTTTTTTATAGTTTGCAAATGTCAACCTTAAAAGTAATACGTTTTTGCTTCATTTTTATTACAAAGTTACGTGAGGATATTTTAGATGGTATTTGGCACGTGGATACTATATAACATTAAAAAAAAAAAAAAAGGCATATAGTTTTATTTATTAAAGTAATATAATTACTAAAAATCCAGTGGTACCAGGTTAGTCGCCGGTTCTAACATTGGTAAAGAAGGAGGCATGAACTTTCAAGTTAAATGCTTTTCCGCGGTGCTATGTTAGTACTTCTGGGAGCATCTTGTAAACAGAGGCGGATTTAAGACTTCTTGGGGCCCGTGGCTATTTTTGTTTTTGGAGGCCTTTTTATGGGCCAGAGCCTAAAAATGACAAAAAAAAAAAAAAAAAAAAATCCTCTAAAATTTTTGAGGGCCTTTAAATTTGCCCGTGGCTATAGCCCCATCCCTTCCCCTTGTTCCGATACTGCTTATAAATAATAATATAAATGAATAAAATAAAAAAAAATAATTAATTATTTCTTCCTACATATATAACAAAGGAAAGTATAAACCTTATATATATATTCCTTAACTACGTGCGGTTTACGGAAAAGTGACATGTTATAAAATCTACTTAGCTATTATTTGTTGGTAGTTACTTAAAACGCATGCTTTATTGATTAAATTTAAAAGTCGATTTAATTGAAAATATTATAGTGTTTCAATAATAATTCGAACATTGATTTTTAAGTTATATATAATAATATATGTTAATTGGTATATATAAATATATACTAAATAATATATAATAATAAGTATTGATTCTTTTAAGTAATCCACATCATGTATATTGTTGGTAACTCGTAAAAAAAATAATTGTGTCCTCTTGGTATTTTTTTTTTGGGTGTTCAAGTAGCCAATAAGTACATGTAAATGTAATAAAAATACTATTAGTATTTTTATTATTGCTGGTGCTGTTGCTATCATTAATTATTTTGTTATGAATTTTGTCTCACTTTTTTTATAAAGGTCTTTTATTTTTTTACTTTTGTAATAAAAGTAATATTAATAACAAAATAAAAGACAATTTAAATAACAAAATAAACAGCAGCATCAACAATAATATAACGCCTAATGGCCACTTAAATACCAAGAATTAACATTATTTATACTATATAGCAGTAATTATTTTTAATTTATTATTTTAAGTATTAATTTATTAGATTCTTTATATGGTTATATGTTTTTTTTTACAAATTTTTAGGAGGAGAAATATGCTATCACCCATATGGCTGTTTTGATGATAATCAACCATATGATAGACCACTTGCTCGTCTTCCAGAATCACCTGACAAAATCAACACTGTATTTACACTTTATACAAGAAAAGCAAAAAATCTTCTTCTTCATCCTCTTTTTAAAAAGACAGCTTCAAGTGTAAACTTTAATCCCAACCTAACAACAGTATTTATTACTCATGGATACATTGGTAAGTTATTTGTATGCAAGACTTATATATACATACATAAAAAATAGATGAAATTTGGTTTGAAAGTAAATAAGAAATAGATGGTTTCATTTATCTTTTGAAAATGAAACCTGCATAGGCCTCAATTATATGCTGGGTCCCACATCATCGAGAATTTTTAAAATTCATACAAAAATCTCTAAACGTTCAAAAGCTATAGCCACATAAAGTTTGAATCCCCCTCAATTTGAGGGGGTTACAAGTTTTATATGACCATTATTATTGAACGCTAAAAGATTGTTTTACAAAATTAAAATTTTTTTGATGAATATAGATTTAGTTGAGAAAAGTAAAAAACTTATTTTATCAACTTGCTGCTCTCACGTTTGGGGCAGGTGTAGCAAAAATTTTGGGGGTTTTTTGTTCCCAGGCTCCAATCATCTCAATTTTTTGCAAAGTATCCATATTTGATATAACTATAAACATATAAAAGTTTCGAGTTCGCTCCATGTCTGGAAGTTAGTTATTTCAAACTTCAAAAAATCCTGTATCCACCCCTGATATATATATATATATATATATATATATATATATATATATATATATATATATATATATATATATATATATATATATATATATATATATATATATATATATATATATATATATATATATATATATATATATATATATATATATATATATATTTAAAAAACACTGACATGTGGGACCCAGCATATAATTGAGGCCTATGCAGGTTTCATTTTCAAAAGATAAATGAAACTATCTATTTCTTATTTACTTTCAAACCAAATTTCATCTATTTTTTTGGATAGAGGGGTGTTGAAAAAATTATAACATAATATTAGATGGTATGCTACTGCTATGCTAAGTGATGATAATATATAACAACAATTAAATATAATAGTATCATTGTTAAACATTATGTTATTTCAATTTTAAAAAGTATTGTTGTTATATATTGTCTGCATTGTTATTTTATTTATCATTTATTATTATTATTACTATTATTATTATTATATACATATGTATATATTGTTAATTGTATTATTTTATTATTAATACTGTTATTGATAAATTTTGGTTAACATTGTTATTGCAATTGTTTTTATACATAGTAACCATTAGATTCAAAACTACTACTTGACCATTATTGACATCAAGTATTAAAAAAACTGTATTTAATAAAATTCAGTTACAAGTGTTTTAGTAATTGCTTTTTTAACCTTTTGCTTTTTTTTTTTAACTTTTTATTTCTAATATAAACTGTAAATTAACTAGTTCTAAAGAATAATAATCTAAAAATCTTAATTAGTGTTGTGGTTAAACTAAAAATATCAATAATCTAACTAAAAAATTTGTAACTATTAATATAATTTTTAAAATATAATTATTCGATTAACTTTTGAATAAATTAAAATTAGTTAACTAACTTTAATTTTGTTCAAAATTTTCAATTTAAGGCATTTTTGTTAAGTTAGACGTATCGAGGTGTTTAATAAACTTATACAATTTATCATAGTTATGCAACAGTTGTTTGTACTTATTTTTGCCCCAAACTTCTTTTAATAAATTTAATAACAATTAGTTTGTTAGCAGAAAAAAATGGTTCAAAAAAATCTGTAGCTGCTAAATACCTAGTTAATTTTTTTAAAAACTTTTTTAATTTTTATTTAAAAAGTTAAAAAAATATAAAAAGTTCAATTATCTGTTTGGTACCATCTTGTTTTTATTGCTGTAAATACCTGTGTTTATAAAAAAGCAAAACTAAATAAATTAAAAACATAAAAAGTCATCTAAGGTGTTTTTTAAAAGAATTTTATAAATAATTCTGCATAAAACAACCCTTAAATTATAAATATGCCATCTTTATTTAATAAATTCATTAACATAAATTTCAAACAAAATATTTTATAATTTATAAATCGATTTTTTAAAAAATTAAAAAAATAAATTTAGGCAAGTCTTCCACCTACTTTTTATTGAAATTTAAAAATGAACTTTTTACTATTAAATTTTTTTTTTTATTACAACTTTATCTAATGCAACCCTTTAGTTCTACTTAGTACAAACTGCAAACATGAAAATTTGGTGATTAAACCACTATGCAACTATAACTTAACTTTATTAATGAAAATTACTTATAACATAAATTACAAATCTTTTTTTTTAAAACTAAAAAAGTGTGTTTATAAATTTTACTTAGGCTAAGAAGTAAGTCAACTAGTTACAGACTAAAAAGTAAGACAACTAGTTTGAGACTAAAAAGTCAACTAATTTTAGCAAACTAAAATATTAGTAGACTAATTTTGAGTAAACTTATTTAAAATCTCCTCCCTAAGATGATATTGCAATTTTTCAAATTTGACTTGTTACATAACTGAATCATTGCATTTTTACATGTTATGTTAATATGATTATGTTGATTAAATTTTTCTGAAGAATTTAATGTTACATACCAGATATTCTAGCTCAGTCGTTAGCAGTGGTAATATGCAAAATATTTAACAAAGAGTTTCTTTGAAAAACATTTAAATTTGGGATTGCATTATAAGCTTAAATTGAAATTTAAAAAAATGTTGTTTTTTTCTTTTCTATAGTAAACTGAACTTCTCTTTGCTGGTAGAAATCTACAGCAAATGACTTTAATGGAAACATACCAGATTTTTATTTTATCCTTTTATAATTTCTTTTATTATTATTAAAAAAAGCAGAGGAAAAAAGTAACAGGATGGTTTACAAAAATTTTAAAACACCTTATTGTCTAGCAATTGTTATGTTCAGGGAAATATAAAACGCGATAATATGATTTAAATGTTTTAAAAAAGTTGTCTTAATCTCATTTCAAGCACTGATTATTATTTTCTAATGTTGTTGAGTTTTTCGTAAAAATGAAAATTTTTGTGAATTTATGTTGGACATATTTTACCAGCTTTGGTGGTCGGTTAAAACCCACAAAAAAGTGTTTTTTGAATAATTTTTTTTCGGTTATTGGTGTTGTTACTAGTTTTGTGTTTTTACTTTTTTGTCTTGTAGAAACAATTTCTTTATTAAATTTTTTGTTTTTGAATGTAAGGACCTGCAATAAAATAAAATATTATTTTATTAATTGTTTTTTAATAATGTATATTTTTTATAGTTGGTATTATTTTCAAAGGTTTCACTTATTTTTGTTTTTAAATTTGTATTATTGCCTAATCGTTGCAAGTAACAAAAAGTTTTTGAGAAGAAATGATTTATGAAATCTACATCTGACTGCAAATGTCTGTTTTCTAAATTATTCTGTTATTTTAAAAATGAATTGTTGTCGTCATATTTTTCTTCATGTGATCAGTTATTTGTCATCATCATGTTTTTGTGATCATCATTTTAGAAAATGCTGACAGTTTATAAAACAATGATCACAGTTTAAAAGAAAAAAAAATAAAAAAAACAAGTTGAAAATTAAAAACTTGTCACAAGGTGATAAGATTTATGACTCTAACTTATGAAGATGATATTTATGACTGTGATTCATGTTAAGGTGATAAGATTCATGTTAACATTTATAATTTTCTTGTCATAAGGTGATAAGATTCATGTTAAAATTTATAATTTTCTATATTGTTTTAATTATAGAGTCGATAAAAGAATGGTATGTTCAAATGTTTATTGATGAGTTGCTAAAGTATGAAGACATGAATGTAGTGTTTGTTGATTGGTCAGGTGGTTCTGGTTTTCCCTATCATCAAGCATATGGAAATGTTCGATTAGTTGGTAAGTTAAAAACTCTTAGAAAGAAAAAGTTAAGTTAGAATATTTAGGAAGTTAAAAAAAGTTCTAAACAGAATTAAATAAATATTTGTAATAAAAGTTTATAAATAAATAGTTAAAAGTTAAATTGTTAGGTTTAACTACTTTGTTTTAATCGACTTTGTTTACATTTTATTTTTTTAAGTATGACAGTATCAGTAATGCTTTGTATCAAACTAAACATATATGAACTTTATATATGAACAAGAAACATTTTGTATAAATATAATATAAATCAGGTCTATAATAAAAGAATTTAATAGATTTTATAAATAAATTTCAATCAATGGCCACAACCATTAAACATATTTAAAGAAATGAATACAGTAAGATAAAGCTGGTTTATATATTTTGACATTCTTCTTGAGTTGCAAATTATACTCATGTTATGATAAAAATCTGTTTTTTATATCTGATAAGTAAAATTAAAAAATGTAATGTTTTAAAGTTAGGTTGTCAAAATTTATTCCATTAAAACTGATGTTAAAGCAAATAATTTATTTCAAATCACATTTTTTTTTGCTAGCTTTATATTGTTATATATTTTACTTAATTATTAGATTTTCATTTTTTGTATCATATATACTTCACATATGTGTAATACAAATGACGCATAGAGAGTGTGAGTGAGTGATAACAGAAGCTCTTTTTTTGATTTTCATCTTTAAAAGTTAATATAGCAAAAAATTATTATTAATTCAATACAAAATTTATATTGTTATATGTTGTGCCATGTAACAAAAGTTTTGTTTGCCAATGTTTTTAAAATTTTAAAGTTCTTTTTAAAATAATGTAAATAAAGGGTTTTCAATAAACATTAATTTACAGTGAAGTTCAAATTTAATAACTACCATGTAACAAAACACAAAATTCAAATGCATTAGCATTTCACAAACTAGCATTTACTATAGTGCAAGAAAGGTCAATAGGTCAATAAGCAATAGAGTTGTTGTAAAATGAGTTGCAAGACAAAGTTTGTGATTTTCTTTGTGCCGGTCCTTGGCGGGCCAAGTAAGTAGACCTTCTATGTAACCTCCTGGTAATGTTGTACAAAATAATTATACTTTTTAAAAAATAATATAAATCTAATACTTAATGATTTTTTAGGTGCACAACTGAGCTACTTGATTGAAAATATCAGAAATGACACTGGTATTAATTGGCAAAAGTTGCATTTAATTGGGTTCTCCATAGGCTCACATTTAGTTGGCTATGCTGGTCGTTTTTTGAGATTAAAAGGGCTGCTTGTTCCTCGTATTACAGGTAAAAGAAGATGACATCAGAAGTTTTTTTAGCATAACTCGTATTTAAATAAATTATGAGTTAAATGAGTGGAATATTATTCTGGTGAATTTTCTTTCAAGCTTATTAACATTATTTTAATTTTACTTTTAAGCTTATTTCACTGTTATTAAGTTTAATTTCATTTATAAGTTTATTTCACTGCCACAATTTAAATTTTTTTTTTTTTAAATGTAACATCTTTTAGTTCCCAGTTTAATTATCTTTTATGAATCTTATAATGGACTCATAAAAGATATTTTCTGATGTTGTGAGGTTGATAATAATTAACAGTCAAGATGTCTGATATTGAGAAAATTTTTAGAACTTTTTAGAAATTTTTAGAAGCAAAAGATATTTTAAAATGAATTTTTAAAGAAATAGGAATAAGTTATTACAACTTTAATTAATTTCCCTTTTCTTTATTATTGTATTTATTTTCACCATTTTCATTATTTTTTTCATATAGTACTTGATCCGGCAGCACCATTGTATGAGTATCAACACACAGATACCAGAATTGATCCAACTGATGCAGAGTTTGTTGATGTTATACATACTGACACAAACACATTGCTTGTATTAGGTTTTGGTGCAGAGCAGCAAATGGGTCATCTTGACTTCTATCCTAACGGGGGATATTATCAGAAAGGATGTGAAAAACTAGATATAAGTAAGTCAAACACTTAAAAGTAAACAAGCAAAAAAACTTTTCATATTTTTGATTTAATTTTTAAACGATTTATAAAAATATGACAAAGGATGAAATAATATATATAAAAAAGTTTAAAAGGGTTTTTATAATAAATATTTAAAAAAATTATCTCTCATTCTAGTTTGCTATTTATATTGTTTGCTATTTATCTCTATTGCAATATCATGGATTTTGACAGATTATATATTTCAGGTGTTACTCAGTATTTGGTATGTAGTCATTATCGTTCTATTCGATACTTTATGGAGTCTATTAACTCGCAGTATTGTTATTATGAAGCTTACCCATGTAAATCATATGAAGATTTTAAAGCTGAAAAATGTTCATGTCCGACAGAAGGATGTCCAGTGATGGGTTACCACGCAAAGAAGCCAAAAACACCTCTTTCTACAAGATATTATTTGGAAACAAGAAGTGAATTCCCATTTTGCGGTAATTTTGATTTAGTTCCAAAAATTTATATACATTTTGCATACATTAAATTAAATTATCCATGTAAATGCATACATTATATACACTGCATGGAACCTGTGCCAGATTAAGACTTTTTGGGGTCTGGGGATATTTTAAAGCAGGAGACCCTTTTCTATGTACTTAATCAAAAATTTAATTTTTAAAGTTTTTTTAAAAAATATCTTTCATTTTGAATCATGGCCCGAGAACTGCAGGGCCCGAGCTATAGTTCCTCTAATCCAGCACTGTATGCGTCATTAAATGGTCAATTTTATTATTGTTGCTTTTATTTTAATTTTCATATAACATTAACAGGATTGGGGCAAAATACATTTGATCAAATACAAATACCTTAACTCTAGATTTCTGAATACAAATTTAAATACAATTATTTTGCAATCAGCATTTTCAAATACAAATACAAACATACAAAAATACAATGATTTTTTCAAGACAAGACTAATAAAATGTTTACAAAATAAAAAGTATTGAAACTAGTCTTTTAAGTCTTTAAGTTTTAAAAGTAAGAAAAAAGACAAAGTTCCTTTCGTTTTTTTTTTTAAAAACGACAACTTGTTAATTTAGTTTATGGAATTGCAAACAAATTTCAATGTAATACAAATACAAATACTTATTTGACCCCAGTCCTTTACACAGTTGACTTAATTAGTTTGATACTAATATAAATTGAAAAACATAGATATGCAGCAGTTCTTTTACTAATGTTTTTTATTAAATAATAGAGCAATTTTGACCTGGTTTAGCATTTTTTTTTTTTAAATGTCTGTAAACTTTAGTTACACGCACAGTAAACTAAAGTTTACAAACAGAGTAACAAAAATAGCAAAAATAAGGCCTAAAGTATGGTTTTTTAGAGATGCAGTAAAAAAATTTTGTTTCAGCAAATTGGGTGATGTAAAAATATTTGGATTAGTAAAAAATTTGGGTTTGTTTTCTAAGAAATAGAGTGTATAAGTTTTATATAATCAAAAGAAAAATAAGTTTTAAAACCAAGTATTTTTAGCGTATTCAATTATTCTTATAGATACTAATGATCAGTCTCAACTAATTGCAAATATATTAGATGAGAGAATCATTATATTGGATTATTTAGTTAAGAAAAGTACATATAATATAACCTGATGATGAATTTGGCTTTAGGTTGTAATACAAGAAAATATTTGAACAATTTCATACTAGAGGCATACAGTATACTTTATAATTTTTTAATAAAACCTAATTCCTTTATAGTTTTTTAATAAACCTGATTCTAGTAAATGACTATCTTTAAATGAAGTCCATATAAAAGTAGTTTTTATGCTACTTTTTTGTAAGGAGTTGAAGTAAAACTATTTGCGTTTGTTCAAATGAGGTGTTGCAGAAAAAATTGAAAAACAAAGGTTTTTTGAATTATATTGATGATTTTTAATAGAGGTTTTCTGCATTTCTGTAATGAAGCGTAATTTTATTTATAATTTTTAATTTTAAGTTATGTATTTTAAGATAACTTCTTCAAAACAGTACTTGTTTTCAAAGCTATGTAATGATAAAATTATATGATAAAATTATGTCTTGTTTATACTCAATACTATTTCAATAAATTTGCTTTTTTAATTAAATATTATAAATAATAACTTTAAATTGACTAATAAAACAGCATCCAATGTTTACCATAAACCACAACAAAAACCACAGCAAAAATCACAACTTGTATTGTATAGACTTTAGATCACATTGATTTCAATTTCATAGATTTTTTTTTTGCCAATGGTCAATATTTATAAATGCAACAAAAGATGCAACAAGAATACATATTTGTATAAACCAAAGGTGAATTAAAATATTTGTAATTTTGATAGCATTAATTTTCATGAAAACAAACCAATCCCAGCCAGTAAGTAATACGGGTACCATATATGACCCGTACAGGTTTTCAACTGGGCCCCATGTGGGTAGCCCTCCAGGATCCGGCAGATTTTTGGTTGCGGTTTCCATCCGGGGGCCCATATGGGTTTACCCGCCAGGTTACCCATATGGGTATCAAACGAATTCTACACTATTAACTCGTAATGGCCCCATATAAAAAACCTGCTGGAATCCAGGTGGTATTTTGCACCAGTTTTCATCCGGGCCTTAGATGGGTTTGCCCACCTGGGAACCATTGCAAATCTTACAAAACTACATTAAAATTATTGAATAAAATGTAAAAGAGAAACTATATAATTTTATATGTTTATTTATTTCGAATAAAAAGCATATTACAATTATATTTTTATTGAGCAACTTTCCAAACAATTCTGTAATCATGTATTGTATGTCTTCACGGCTGTCTCCAAATTAAAAGCTTTTAAATCATTGATATATCTACTTCTTTATGCAAATCTTTCTTGATACAATATCTTGTTTCAATGAGTGCTTTTAACAAAAGTGTTATACTTTATAATGTTGTATTATTATATTTATACTTTAATATATTGTAACGCTTTAATGATTTTTGCCTTA